CAGACTTCTGACCCACAGAACTAAGATAATAGATGTGTGTGTATTTTTTAAGTCACCAAGTTTATGCTCATTTGTTAGTGGCCATGTTGATGTTGTTAGGTGCTGTGGGGGTGATTCCTACTCATAGCGACTATGTACAACAGAAGAAAACACTGCCCAGACCTGCACTGTCCTCACAAATCATTGCTGTGCTTCAGCACAGTGGGTTAGCCATTTGGCTGCTAACCACATGGTTGGCAGTTCAAACCCACCAGCTGCTCCGTGGGAGAAAGATGAGGCAATCCACCGTGGTAAAGATACACAGCCTTGGAAACCCAATGGGGGTCGCTATGAGTTGGAATTGACTCGATGGCAGTGGATTTGGTTTGGTTCTGGTTTTGCCCGTCCACAGCATGTGAGACAAAGTCTCACCATGCTCCCTTCTAAGGAGCATTCTGCTGTACTTCTTCCAAGACAGATTTGTTCATTCTTCTGACCGTTCATGGTATGTTTACTATTCTTCACCAACATCGTAATTCAAAAGCATTGTTTGATCTTCCTTACTCATAGTCCAGCTGCCGCATGCATATGAGGAGACTGAAAATACCATGAGTTGGGTCAGGCACACCTTATTCCTCAAAGTGACATCTTTGCTTTTTAACACTTTAAAAAGGTCTTCTGCAGCAGATTTGTCCAATGCAATTGTTGGATTTCTTGACTGCTGTGGCCATGGGAAACTTACACATGGTATGGCTGACCCATGATTGATTTTCCAGCCCATGCCTGGTGGACAGTTAGCTGCTTTCTGTCCTCATACAGTGGATACTGTCGAGGAATTTCTAAGAATGGAAACAAAGTAATGCTAGAAATTTATTATTTGATCATACAATTCATGAATTGGGTAACAAACAATAAAAGTGAGTGTTGAAAGAAATGAGCAGGATTTCTCATTCTGTCTGAGGAACAAAGAAACTCAGGAAGTCCAAGCAGTTTCATATATTCTCAGAATGTCCCTTGCAGTCCTTTCTTTTCTTTTTGATCCTTAGCTATGTGGTGCTTGCCCCTCCACATTGGGACCTCCTTGACTTCACCATTGGCCCCAGGACACTTTCCTGTTGAGTCCCACAACCTGGTGATCTCTGGTATCAACCCCTTCAAAGGATTAGGGGGGTAGAGGACCTTCTTGCTAGTCATGGCAGCAGCTGTTTCAGAAGCAGGTGCTGAGGTGTCACCTTACCTGAAGATGGAAGAGGTGGATGAGGGTGCGGTCAGGATGATGAGGAGGACACTGCCCCCACCCAGGCTGCTGAGCGTGGAGGCCCCACCAATGAGGGTTTTCTTGGTGGTCTGGCTTGTGGCTGCTGTAGCTTGTATCTGACCCATGA